AAGTCAGGATTTGGCTTTAAAAAACAGTAAATACTACTCTGAGAATAAATAGTACCAATTGTAGAACTTATTATGTGAAGAGACTGCTTTTTAAATATTAGGGTAAAGCTTCTTGGACTTTTGATTCAAATTTAAGCCTTATCACATCATTAATATTGAAGAGAAGCAAGGGTAATCTATTCATGTATCTCAATATTGATAACTGAGCTGCATTTGCAAGAACAGTGAGCACTGAAATAATCTGAACATCACACCTCTCCTCCAAATGAAAGAGTGTCTCCTTCTGGCTCTCAGCAATTGAGAGCAGGGATGTGTCTCTAAAAGGTGGAATTTTTTCAAAGGTGTTGGAATGATTGAGAATCCTACTGGGACTCTGTGTCTAAGAGCTGTGCAATTCTATCCTCTGAATATTTAACTGTGCTGAAGTAAACATCTGAATTTAGTTAACTTCAAGTGGATTAGGACATCACACCACTGAACAGATTATAACACACAGTTTAAATGCAATTTTCTGATTTGACTGGTCTTTTAGTTTGTTAATTATAATAAGAAAATGTGTAAGCTTCAATATCTTTTTGGTCTTTTTGCTAAGGAATGGAGGTTTATGCCTCACATCTATCTGGTTTTTTTTTGCCTGGTAACTTTGAACCCATTTTGGAGCACATTTCATGAGGAGAGAGAGCTCAGAAAGGCAGTGAGTTCCCACAACGTGACAATCCTCAAAGCAGTTTAGTTATCAGGGGCTGGGTGGGCCCTATGAGCAGCCCTAGAGCTGTTCCCAGTGAGGCTGTGGTGTGTGTGTGCTCTTCCCTAAACACCATTTATTGCACCAGGAGAGAAACAAGAGCAGCATCACACTTGGACAGGTTAGTCGTGGACTACTTGGGAACTAAAAATTAGGCTCTGAACCAGACTTCATCAGTTTTCTGTTCAAGATATTTCCTGTTTCAAATGCTGTGGTTTTGTGCTGGGCCAATCTCGTTACTTTTTAAAAAGAAATTGTTGAAGATACATGAATAAATTGTGTGTGTGTGTATTTATACAGACACAACATATATATATTATAATGTGAGCTATAGCTGGCTTTATATCTCTGTAGACAGTTAACTGTAGAACAGTCAAAAGGGAAATAAAGGGAATTCACGGAGTGGAACAGACTCTGAAGCTTAGGAAAGAATATGGTTAATGAAATACATCCACTTAAAAGGCAGTGCTACATAAAATGTAAAAGAGTCCAGGTTATGAATCTCAATAGCTTTGAATAAGCTCAGACCATTGCTACAGAGCCAAGTTAGCATGGGCCAGATGTGGCACTGGATAGGAAACAGCCTGGGGGAGAAGATTTCTTCTCTAATAAAAAAATCATATTCCATGTGGGGATTTATATATATAAGTTTTCTTTATCATTCAATCTTATAAATTTAAAGCGTGTACATTTTTAAACTTTGGCCTAATATTACAAAAAATGAGAGCCTAGTTAAATTTTGTGGCATTTTTATGTCACCCACAGTGTCTTTCTGGTTTGGGGTTTGTAGCTAAATCACTGGGTTTTAAAATGCATCTTGTGTATGATTTCAGTTATACTTGTGAATGGCTGGCATGTCTTAAGTGAAAGATCTCTTGTCCCCAGTGGTGGCTAAAGTCAGAGCTGTCGTCTTTGAATTATTTTATTTCATGAGCTTTTAATCATACCCCAAGGACATGTCAAGCTCTTGCATGCTCTTTCTTTCAAGTATATTCTTTCACAAACACAGCCTGTGGAGGAGATGCTGTCATTTCTTCTCCTGTCCCACTCCAAGCATATATTCATCATGGCAGGGTAAACTTATAAGAAATCTAATATCATAGTAAATTACAATTTGGTGAGTGTGGCACACTTTCAAAGGTTCAAATTTTTGGTGGTTGTAAAGTAACAGCTAAATCAGTACAGAATGTGTTTTCAGTAAATCAATTAGTGCAGTCACTCTCTAAATAAATACTTGGTTTGTTAATTAGATAGAGTCAGTTGCCCTCAAAATTATCTTTGTGACATTTCTGTGAATGTAAATTAATTTGAAGACATTGTGGGATTTGTTCATCACTTTATTGAATGTTCTATGCCTGAAGCATCAGTGAGTATATTTATAGTAAAGCTATTGAACAATTTTGTTGGTTTTTTTTCAATTATTGTTCTCATGGATCCCAACTGGCATGTTCCTTTGTCTTGTACACAGCACAGCATCTGAATGTCCCAAGGGTTCCCATATTTTCAGAGGAGACCTAACAGCTGATCTGTCCTGCTTTTAGTGCTCAAGATAGGCTATTGTCCTGTTTCTGGCAGGTTTTGCTACAATTGCTGTTATTTTTGTATTTGTTATTTTATAGCTTCATAGGTAAATATATATTAGGTGGGGACTCAGTGTCTGGGTGCCATTTAGAACACCAGGCTCTAAAATTGCCTCCTGTGAAACTTCAGTAATATCTTTGAATGGCTATGTATTAAACGACTGGCTCAAATGTTTCTTTGTGCTAAAGGGAGCAGTGCTGCTTAGAGAGCTTGCAGTTTGCAAGACATTTTTGAAATGAACACCAGGAAGCACAGTAGTTGTATTTAAAATTATTTATTGATGGAGAAGTAAGTGAAAGAGTGATATTTGGACCAAGAATTGTTTTCAGGTAGAAATAGCCTGTTTTCCCCTCAAGCTCATTTCTGAATTTCAGGAGAAAAGACAGTCATAAACCTCTAAAACTATCTGGGGCTGAATTACCAGTGCTGAGCATTGTTGCTTTCTCTCTGTGGTACGTCAGAAATCCGCAGGTATGTCCTTAGCTGAGTGGCAGGACTTCAGCTTTGTGGCTGACAAGGTAGCCTGCTTCTACTTTGGGTTCCAGCTCTCAGTTAAAATTCCCAGTGCTCCTGCCAGCCTTTCTTTAGGTGCCTTTGCACTCAACGAAGTGCCTTCAGCTGTCTCCTCTGCGTTACCTTACCTTACTCCTCCTACCCTAGCTTGCACCTTACCTGAGGCAGGGCGGATGTCCCTGGGCAGCAGAAAAGCTCTTGCTAACACAGGAGCTGCTGGAAGCAGAGGGAGCAGCCCCTGAGCTCAGCCCAGCCTGGCTGGGGGGCACCAGCCCTACACTGCCCAGCCCAGCCCTGCCCTGCCCAGCCCAGCCCTGGCTCAGCCCTGGCTCAGCCCTGGCTCAGCCCTGGCTCAGCCCTGGCTCAGCCCTGGCTCAGCCCTGGCTCAGCCCTGGCTCAGCCCTGCCCAGCCCAGCCCAGCCCTGCCCATCCCTGCCCATCCCTGCCCAGCCCTGCCCAGCCCTGCCCAGCCCTGCCCAGCCCTGCCCAGCCCAGCCCTGGCTCAGCCCTGGCTCAGCCTCTCTGTGTCTGTGCTGGGGTCCCCGGGCTCCTGGGGCAGTGCCAAGGGGCAGATGGGGGCTCTGCACAGAGATGGCATCTTGCCATCGCAGCTTTTGTTGGCACAGTGTCGATGCCACGCAGGGAATCTGCCTCTGCTTTCCCTCGCAGCAGCTTTGCAAGCAGACTGTCACACACTCATTGTTGTGCCTTTAGCTGATCAGTTCTGGAAAGGAAATGATGGGCAAGATAATCTAAGCATGGAACATTTCTATTATCATCACCTTGACCACAGATTACCTCTTCATTCCAAAAAATGCTTCTGATGCGATACTTGGAGCGGCATTTCAGTAAATTTGTTCTCCAGAAAATTAACTTTAATGAAAAATATTGCTGTCATACTCATAGACATGTTTAGTGTTTAAACCCCACATAGTATGTTGGAGCACTCAATCAACAAGCAAAAAATAAATTCAATATCCATACAAGCTCTCATCATGCAAGGAGCTTTTGCATTATGGTCTTACAGCAGTTTGAAATGACACTTTCTGTAAAGGCTTTAGATGTATTTGCCACATTAAATAGTAACTATGTATGTAATTGAGCACGCTTAATGATAACTTCTTGCCTACTACAGAATCTTTACTGAATTCTAGTGGCCTAGTGTAACTGAGGTCATGGTACATAAATATGACTGTAATCCCAAATTAAATTTATATATACTTGTTGTGCAATAACAGCAAAGTAGGAAAATGAAACAAGCTTCCTCCCCAGTGTAGCTTTGAGAGCTTGGAAAATTATAGCTCTGCTGGTCAGATGGGTTACATGGGAAGTTATTCCTGGTCCATTGAAATAATTGTATTAATCTCACGTACTGTGTAAGAGTCTGGTCTTGTGGTCTTTTGATATATAAAGCATAATTCTCTGACAAAATATTCTAGATGTTCTGTGGTGCACCTGAGATTTTTTGTACTGTATGTCTGAATAAAAATTACTAATGCAAAAATATCTTCTTTGCAGAAATAAGCAAGTTACTCATACTCTGGGTTGCTTTATTTTGTTGGTTATTTGGTTGTCGCTTGCCCAATACTACAACTTATAACCTCTGACTCTCTAAAATATTGCTTTTATGGTTTGCTTTTATGGAGGTTTTTATGTTTAGAGCCCTTTTAAATCTTGAAAGAAATGAAATTTCTTTCAGTATCTTTTGTCTTGAGGTGTGAATTGTTTAGCATTATGACTTGGTTGAATTTGAGTCATGTTGCTGTATAATGGTTTTACTCTGTCACGTGTTCATGGGGCAAAGAGCAGCATAAGGAAACAGCATTTTGAATTCTATACCATGGGAAGATTCTTAGGTTTTTCAGAAAAAAGTGCTTTTTGAACTTAAAGCTTAAATCAAGTACATTCTGACATTACCAATCATCAGTGCACTCCAGATGAGAACTAACCCCATCAGAACATGTTAGCAGCTGTGCACACCCCCTGAAATCTTCTGTTAATGATTATTTTTCTAACATGGTTTGATTAGCAGGTTGTATACCTATTGAAATCAAATACGAAGAATTGTAGTGGAAGCTACCAAAAACAGGATACATGCACTCACTCCTTCTGCTAGTAAAATTAAATTATTAATGCTTTAATTTCTTTTTTTTTTCCACAGGATTTGAGGTTCCAATTAAATCCGTGTTTGGGCCATTGCTTTGCCTGCCAGTACTTAATCTTTTTCGAAGGCCTCATCACTTATCTAATACAAAAGAACGAGGTAAGGAGAAAAAGTAATGAAATGCAGCATAGCACATCTGTCAAAGGAGCAGAAAGTAGCTTTAAAAAAAATCCAAGATCAATGGCATTAAAAAATTATTTGTTGAGCACTAAATGTGCTCATGTTAGGCACGTTAATTGTAAAGAATCTGTATGTACTGATGTACCAGTATATACCATCTGAATATGTACTGACACACCAGTATGTCCTTGCATACTCTGAGGGTTTTGTTGTTGGTGTTTAAGATATTTACTGTTGATGTAGCCACAGGACACAAATGACTGATAGGAGTAGTTGCTAAGTGTACTTCTCTGTACTGCTGAATCTTCTGTAAGATTCTTTGACATCCTAATACTGAACAGTTGAATATAATTAACATTTCTGAAGTTATTTAAAATTCATTTTTGGGTCAGTCTTGATTTATGTTCTTCAAATGTGCATAATGCAACACTGGGTACTGTATTAAAAGGCTTAAACTCTTTCAGCACTTAGAACTGTACTATCCGTTGTTGTTGATAATAGATCTGTCCAAAATACCTGGAACTGACTTTTGCTATGTCACTTAGGATTCCAACAACATACAGCAAGGCAGGCATAACCAGAGGTGACAGAGAAGAGTAGTAAAGTGATTTAGCCTTGACAGGCTAAGGATGTAAGGCAGATATGGTTTGAAAAATATAAACCTTTCCTGAGTTTCAAAAGTATAGCTTGCAGTGGCCACCCCTGCAGCCACTGCTGACATGCACAAGAGACAATATTGGGATTTCAGTTTTTTTTTTTTTCTTTTTTTTGCCCACTCATTTTTTCTGCATTCTCACATCCCTTCCCAGGGTCAAGTTCAAACTAATATTAGCTGGTGTAGAGCAGGCTCAGTGGCTCCTTAATATGCTTTCACCTCAGGGTCTTTATATGAAAACCAGCAGGTTAGAAAGTTTGTTGGCCTCTCACCTTTTCAACATAAAATATCATGTATTTGGTTTGGGAGCGTTAACCACACATCTTCTCTAGGGTCTCTCTCAAGGATGCTATTTATAGTTTTGCTTTTCAAGCTGTGTAAAGGGTGTTATTAAGTAGCTGGGAAAAAATGTTTAATCATCAGACCATGGAAAGCCATAGGCCAGGCAGAAAATTGCCAGTGGCATTTGTCAGCAATAAGTAAAACTGGGTTCAGTTGGTGAGTTTTTAAAGCACAGTTTGTTGCTGAGGGGAGTTGTCCCTCCACATCCAGAGCTGATGATGGAAATGGCTCACTGAGAGAAGCATTCCTGAAGTATTTCCTAGAACTTCTATCAATTACTTTTACATGTGTAGATTTTACAATTACTTTTGCATGTGTCGATTGTTGGCTTTGCTATGTAAATCCTTTAGGTTTGCCAAATAACTTCCAGGTTTCTGATTCCAGTCTTGCTGTGTCTTACAGCACAGTTGTCTTCTCGGTTGCCCATCTACCACCTCATGTCTGCTAAAATTTCTCATGGTATTGGTCTCTGAGACTGAAAAAGATGATGAAACCACAAACATTTGTATAATTTAACAAAAATTACTCCCTACCATTGCTTGTGGAAGCAAGGTGGAATGCTTGTATAGAATCAGTTACCAACAGGGTCCATCTTAAAAAAATAATTAAGCTTTAATATAACTACTCTTAATAGAATTTTAATATAAAGCATACTTGATTTGTCTCTTGCTCTTCAATTTTCTTTCCATTCCTCGTAATTGCATTTCAAAGGTCTTCTTTCAGTAGATAAACATCTCAAATTTATTTTTTAAAATATTCTCTTATATCATCTTGTTTAAGAAAAATTGACTTTTTTACCCTCCAAACCTTCCTGCTTCTTCATGTGTTGGTGAGGCATGTTAACAACTTAAAACAGATAATCTTTGTGATTATTAGCTTCTTATAAACATAATTATCTTCTGATTAGTGCAGATGACATTAAAAAAATCTTACACTGAAACAGTGCCTAAAATGAGTTATGTGCTAACTACATGTGCGGTTTAATTGGAACCCCTACTGATACTGAACACAGTTGGTTTTGTTGTGGTTTGAAACAAAATCAAGACTTAAAAGATTACAATGTTGTATCTGGAATGTCTGAGTGTCTGTATCTCCCAGTAATTTTTAACTCATTCACTGACATAAATGTTTTTTTAGCCCACTGACTGATACTAACATGAAGATGGAATTTCGAAATAAAATTTTCCTAACATTCTAGTGAAAATGCATGGCTTTGCAGTCAAAAAAAGGATATTGAAAATGCCCTGGCTAAGGGAAGGCCACTTTGTGAGCTTCTCTGGAGTATTCTACAACAGAAAGAGACCTAATTAATGTGCCAATTTTGGGAGAGGCATTTGAGTCAGAATCTGCACCTTTCCAACATGTGGGGGTCAACAGTGAAAATTTGCTAATGCATGGAATTTCCAGGGCTCTGCTCAGGAAATCAGACTGGATTCCTCCTTGTGTGCTCTAAATATTTCCCTCTTCCTCATGGTATGTTTATCCTGTCTGCCTGGAAGATGCTGATATTTGATGTGAAAACCTTTCCTGCAGCCAGAGGAACATTTACTTTCAGGTTATAATTTCTGTGTTTAAAACCAAACCCCATTATCACGCTTGTGGCTGGCTGGGATCATGTTTATGGTTTATTATATTTGCAGTTTCAACTGTAGACACAGAAAAATATCTGTTTTGCTTGTGGAGCAGCTTATTGTGCTTATTGAACAGTAACAAACCTTATGCTATGGATGAAAGAATGTGATTTATCTGTGTTCTTAAAGGTACTATGTGATTAGACATCACCCTCATAAACCGTGTCTTATGCTGTGATTTCATAAATTCCTGTTAGCTTGTACCATTGGGGAAGTTCTTAAGTCCATGAAATATCTGTCAACATGTGGCTTCTCACCACTGCAAAGTCTTGATAGGGTTACAGGCCTTCAAGATGAATTGTGGTTTCCTGGACAATTTGTGTAATGGATCTTTGGGGTATTCATACTTTCAAGACATATGTGGATTTATATGCCATAAAAGATAAAGAATGCTTTGCAGCTTCTATTCTAGATATAGCACCATTTGAAATGCTTGAGATTACATCCATATAGTGGGTGGTTTGCTCTGAGGCTCTTAAACATTCATTTCTGCTGTTCTCATATCAGAGATTCTCTATTAATATTGCCATAGTGAACCAGGAGAGTGACTGCTGGGAATCTCCAGGCAATCAATGAGAAATACTTGGCAACAACACTGTCCTTTTCACTTTTATTTAAGGTTGTGAGAGCAATTTACAAACATTAATAACACATTATAGTAACCTCCTGAATCTCTGTGAGCATTTATTTCTAGAAAATTTAACCTAAGCTAAAAGTAAGTAACAGCTATGCTACCATAGTGGAAACAAACCATTCTCTTGCTGGCCTCCCTTTTTTGTGGACCCTCTTGGACATCCATGGAGTTTAGTTTAAAAAAAAATGGTCACAGTTTCTAATCTCTGGACTCTACTTTTTGAAGATAATCTGATTATTCCATCAGAACTCTCATCTATCTTGAGCTTCTTAATAGCTTGAGCTAAATTTTTAAATAATCTGAAGAATGAGAAGGAAACAAAAACATTGACAACACTTCCTAATAGCAGTATTCTCCTTGTTGGAGTATAGAAATTCTCTTAGAATGACTGTGTTCAATGTTCAATCAGTTTTACACTGTTGAAAGTTTAGACCCAATTGCAAATTAGCAATAAAGAGGAATAGTCAGCAATTCAATGTCAAATAGCAAAGTCTTCTCTGACTTTGACAGGCATTTTATTATTTTTTTTCTTTCTTCCTCCCTCCCCCATTATTGCATAAATATCTTGTTTAAGTTTTGTGGTGTATTCTCTATGATAACATAAACCTTTTGATTCTAATTTGCTACACCTAACTATGATGGTTTAATGTAGGGCAGTAACTACTGAATTATCCAGTGTCACAGTGTGCTTGCCAAATTGTTATGCTCTTATCTCACTGAAATGGAACCTCAAACCACCTTTCCCTTCACAATCCATTAACAATTTACTTCCTAGTAATTCCAAGAAAGGAATACAGAGATGCCAAAGCAGACAATAGTCTATATTGAAATAATAGACTTTATTCCTTAGTCTTTTGTGTAACAAAATCTCATTTTGATATTAATGGAAACCTATGATGTAAAGGTGTTTTTTTTCACATGGTCCAGTACTATAAATCACATGTAAATGTACCCTACCGTTTGAATTGTGAGCTCATGAACTCTCCTTGTTTCTACTTATAATATCAAGAAATAGTTTTTAAGGACAGCATAAAAGCACTTCTTGGAGAAATCTTGAATTATCTAGCAGTGAAATTTCATTATTCCTTTAATTATTTACATAAAATAAAAAAATGGAGTTGCTGTAGAATTCCAGCAATGCAATTTTTCAGTAATGCACCATGGAGACAGTTTCTTGCAATATTCCAGAGCTCTGTCCTTTAAGATAAATGTATTTTTATGCAGTTCAAATTATTTTACAGTCTTTAAAGTATTATTTTACAAATCATTGATGTATTAAGTTGGCTTAATCATCTGTCTGCATTTAGGCTTCCAAAAGCACATGTGGTAGAGATGTTTTGGGGTTCTTCCAACATCTGTAAACCGGTGACTCGGTAACAGGAAAAATAAAATGAATAATTCAAAAGATCAATGCTGACCAAAGACCAGAGATACTTAGTATTATTATATTTTTGGTTTTCTGCCTGTAGGCCATAATTTTATAGATAAAACATTTTTTGGAGTAAATAAGGCTGATCACTATATACTATAAATAATAGTAGTATGTGCTTTTGCTTGCATTAGAAGGATTGTACCTTCTGTGATACATTTTGCTAGCATCAAAAAGGCAGCAAGTGATTAAATATATATCTTCTGCCTGACAAACTTCACTTATGCTTCCAAAAACATAATCATATCCTGTTCTTTTCATCTTCTGGCTGTTTATGCTTTCCAGCAG